CATCAGCAACTCGCCATGATTCAATGTTAAGCGCCTTAGAAACCACTTTCTGAAAATTGTCTTTATTCCTTCAATTAAAAACAAGATGGATTTCAGGAAGTGGGTTACAAAGTGGTACACATGCTGGCCAACTGCACTTGTATTACAGTAATACAGTAATTTTGAGAGTGGACAAATGATGCTAAATATTCAATTACATATAATGAAGCAACTCGTTCTATGGCTATGGATGATTAAATACAGCATGGAAGAACCAACATGACAGGCCAACTCTCACCTTGTTTTTGACGTGTTCTTGACATTCAATGTTTCCATATTATAACTTGAAGACCCATTCAGAGGTACTATATCTGCACAAGCTAGACGAGCGGCACCTTTATCCTTTACATGAATCACGATTGATCTACCAATTACTACACACAACAAAACAAACACTACATTGACAATCATCATTCATCTCATCTCAAAATTATGTCATACAATTTTGCGCCTTGTTTTTAAACAAACATTTTGCAGTTTAAAATCACTAAAAACCACTCCTGTTACTTACTATTGTGCCAACTTGCAAAATAATTTTCCGTCTCAGTGAACTGTTTCATCCCTCCACCAATGTTGTACGTTCCAAGTTTACTTGACGAGTCTCCAAGTTCACAGCGGAATGGACTACTGGGGTTACATGTGGATGCATAGTCATTATCCTGTTGTAACACAACACAATTTCAGAAGAAGGAGAACAGTTTAGAAATGATAGAGCTATCCAGGTTTCCTCATGTAGTAACACTGGATCAATAAAAGAAGACCCTTACTGGACCTCTAGGAAGAACAGTTGATTTAGAACTGATAAAGCTAGGGATCCAGCATAAATAAAATTGGTTTAATTTAGGTTTTCTCTTGTAGTAACACTGGATCAATAAGAGATCACACTTACTGGACCTCTAGGAAGAACAGTTTAGAACTGATAGAGTAGATTTATCCCACCATCCATTATAGTTTATATTATGAAAAGAGACCTACCGGTACATAAACCTTGTAAGGATTATAATGTCCTAGACAACTCATGCATTTCTTTCCAACAGAATCACTTCCAACATGAGAAATATGCACATGCCAATTGTGATTTGTAGTCTAACAAGGTAAAGAGAATGATTGAATGCACAGCACAGATGGAAACTTTAAAAGTGACAGTAAATAAAATTACTTACAATTTTTGACTGGTTATTCTTGTACCACACAGACATCACCATTGAAAATGAGTAAGCAAAAGCCTTTGATTTGTTAAATAAAACTTGTTCCTAAACCAGAAATTGATATCAATGTTATGAGAACAATGAAGCATTTTTAAGAAGTGTTGAGTTTCAGTCTCCAAGGCAGTAGATGGTGGTCAACTTCACAAATGTCAAAACTGATAGGAGCAGCCAAATTGAACTATGTCTCTCAATTCTATTTTTCTCCCCACATACAAGACATTTTCTCACTCTAATAACTGCAGGTTTACCACCATCTGCTGCACAATAGTACTTGATGAAACCACCTTCATTCTTCCCACATTATGACATCATAATGTATCTATAACTGAACAGACAACGTTCGGGAAAATCTTCTCTATTTGCTATTAACACTGCATGGCAATACAAATATAAACTCAAATGGTTTGTGTCAGTGTAGGTATAGTGACAGTAACACCACAAAGATGTGGAATGGATGCAACTCACCGAAAAATACAAGGAAAACCTTGATGTTTCAAGGAATTAGGCCCTTTGTAATCAGGAAGTTGATGATGAAGGACCTTAATTTGCTTGAAACGTTGAAGATCCTTGTGTATTTTTCAGGTTGCTGAATCATTTTCAATCCACAGCTTCCTGGCAATACAAATATATACTGATGAACATTCCCTTACAAAGTTTATGAAACCGTTAAGACCATCTGGTGTTGTTTCCTTAAATTGAACTTGGGCTTTCAAATCATATGTTGGATCCTTTGGCAATATCTGCTTAATCTCTTGTGAGGATGCTGTTTTGTTGATAGCTAATGCTCGAAACATAATGCTGTTTGGTCCATACATTGTCAGATCATCCACTGCACCAGAATCTGCAAGTTCAAGATCATAACTGATTACATATCCAGTATGTCACTGTACACATTGGTGTACCTATTTTTTATGATTCAGAAATTTTCAAGCAAAAGATAGTAAATGTTTTCTCATTTTAATAATTATCACTTATTTACTGAGACCGAGGGAAACATTGTGTTTTGTGGACCCGAGACCGCCGTTGTTGCCCGAGGCGAAGCCAAGGACAACAACAGCGGTCCAGGGGCCACAAAACACACTGCTTTCCCAAGGTCTCAGTAAATAAGTGTTTTGTTATATAGCATATAAGTGTCAAAGTGTGAATAATTCACTGGTTATTGAAGTGCACTTAATTTGAAAAAAAATAATAATTAAAAAAAATAATTTCCAAAACTGCCAACTGGATAAATGGAACGCCGTAAATGTTTAGTAAAAAGTTTTAAAAATGAACTTTGGAACTTCATGGTTGACACGCATGCATATTGCACCCATTTTATTATTGACCGGTCAATAAATGTTTCATTGCAGACCGGTTGCTGAGCAGGACGTTTTTTGGACCGGCACGTGACACGGTTTTGACCAATCGGCAAACAGAAAAATTGAACTTCGACACTAACTATATAACAATAAAACTTGTTAACTCTTACCCTTCATCAATGCCTGTTCATACACAGTTATCCTGTTATATTCACCACTGAGACTCACATTTACCACCACAGGTTCATATAACGATTCTTGAGTAAACCCAATTATCCCACTTAATCCCTGATTATCTAACTTCACCTCGGCTGCCATTTTTTGGTACTCTTGAATTTTTGTGCAAATGAAAGGTTTGCCGTTGGAGAGAATCACAAGGGATCGCCCGGTCACCGAGTTCTTACCAGACAATGGTAGGTTAGTATCAATGTAAAATTTATGCGATTCTCCTTTGCCAGGCAAGGGTATCTCCAGTTGAGCCAACTTTCCAGACAGGTCACCAATCATGCAAGTACTGTGCTTCCGCTTATCACAAGATGTTTTGCTAAGTGGGTTAAAAATTTCCCCAATGCCTTCACAAGAACCTTCAGTGTTGCTAGTGGATGCACTTTTGTAAACAGCGAGGGATAGACCTCTCAACGGCTCACTTCTCGCGTCAACTAGCATCAGGTTAATGTCGACTGCTGTGTCAGAATCTGGGTTGTCTGCAGATTGACGGAGGACGACTGTCCCAGCGATTCCTGGGGAAACCGCTCGGAAAACACCAACATTTTCTGTTGTAGGAGCATTTGACTTGATTGTGGCACACGCTTTGCCATTCTGAGCATAGATAGCTAAACTACGACCAAATATACCATCCTGACCAGACAAGGAAAGATTAGCATCCTTCACAACACTGACATTGCTCAAAATCTTGCCAATTTTTTCAGTCTTGCATATTTCACTCATGGGACCATTGTATTTTACTGGGAACTCATGAATGCTAAAGAATGCAGCTTTCGGGAAATTTAGTTTTTTGATAGAGACTTCTACATTACCATCTCCAGTTTGGGTGAATAACACGGAACCATTAACATACAAACTATTGAATTCAGCAACAAGGTGAATAGTCTGGGCATCGATTGAATAAACTCCTAAAAACAATATATTTAATCAATATTAATATACAGATTTGTAGTAACCCATTAAGTTGCATTGCACCCTACTTTATTATTTTACTCTGTCCAAGTAAGACAATTTTACTTGTTAAGAGGAGAGCGCTGATCACTTAATGGGTTAATCGGACTATCTGTTACCGGTAACTTATTAAGTTGCATCGCACCCTACTTTAGTATTTTACTCTGTCTAATGCCAAACAATTTCACTCATCATGGGGAGGGCACTCAACCAGTCAAAGAGGAAAGAGATATATCTAGACCATTCGCAGTTGACCTTAAAATGAGGTCACGCATAACATCTGAAGGATGCTTTGAAATGAACCGCCTTTCTACTCAGGAGGAATCAAAGGAATATAAACAAACTCTAGTTTCTTTCGTTATTAGATCTATGACAGTATGGAGTCTGTATGTGCTTATACAGTCTTGTGAACGTTTGGTTTCCGTCTTGTAAAAATTTTGCAATTAGATGAAATTACTAATCATTTTTTTTGTAACAATACACGTTTATAATTAAATTGTTCGAACTATTCAATGCCAATGGCATTTAAATGCCTGCCTTGGCAAAATAAACGCTGCAAATTTATTAAATTTGCCTTTTGTACCCTGAGTGTATATATACGGCGGTAGTTTGTACCAAACAAATATTGAAGTATACGACCCTAAATATGTATCAGCGCGTCGTTAACTGCGTTTGCCCTCTGGATAAAGCAACTACGCAATATTTCATGAATTTATAGACTGCCCCAGGATAAAAACATAAGAGAGAGGCATTTCTATACACTATTACAATAAAATAACTACAGCATGTTTTAAAAGAGCAAAAATGTTTCGACTACGGTGCAATGGTGCATGACACGTGGAATTCATTTTAGTTGAAAGCGCAAAGCGTCTAACTACAAATTCAAAGAATCGCTGTAAATATTATTCAAAATGCTAAAATTCTTACCTAAAATGCTGCAAAGGCACCAGGAGAACATCAAGTTGTAAAATATCATAGTTCGCAAAAGAAAACTCAGTGTTTTTAAACAATTTTAAGGTAAACAAAAATGTGTACACAAAGATAGAGTATAAAGCATACGGTACGGTAAAATGAACCCCGGGGAAATGTACACAAGGGAGCAATCTCGTACTTGACAAGGGAGCGGAAACCGTATACAGCTCATGGAAATTGCACTTTTTATAAAGATTCATCTACCATTTTAATATTTACTGAGATTTGAGTCCCTTTTCCTCGGTTTATCTACAACATGGTCCAACTTATTGTTATAAAAAATGTACTTTCTGGAAGTGGGTATTTCTTTTTTTTTTTAAATTTATTTTCCCATTTATTTTCACATTACAATTATTAATACATTATTACAAATTAACTATTTGGGCTAGAGACCTACTAGAAACCTTTGCAGGCTTTTGTTTCTAGGCCACTAGTCATGTCCTATTAGATTATTTTATTATTATTATTATTATTATTATTATTATTATTATTATCCCTGCTTCATTTGTGACGTTGTCCAATGTCCACCCTCTGGTGCGCTGTATAAAGACCTATAAACGTTCACTGAAAGTCACCAATGATCAGTTATCGTTTTCTGACAAAATTGGCGGCAAATTTAATGACGTCAGGTTCTTTTGCCAACTTTCATCAGGCGATAATTTACTTCCGGTTCTCATCCGGGGAGTCATAGGCAGGTCACGTGGTAACTCGAAATCGTCCGAGGTGAGTACGTGAAGGGCCTGGAACGGAGAGCAAGATGTCCCTAATCCTCCCCCGGTAGTTAGAGCTGTATCTACATGCCCCAAGTTTTCCCTTCTTGCCTTCCTATCCATCATGCGACGTTCAAATGTTTTGTTGTATTTGTTTCCCAGAATGCACTACAGGAAGAAATAATTAACATAATTATCAATGTAACGTAATTAACATAGATGACGTATAGCATTAGATAATGCACTATAATGTTAGATAATGGTGGCATGTTGGGCCAATAATAAGTTTAATTCATAACTTGCTCCTATAAACCCAGCAAATAAAATACACAAAAAAATCACACAATAAACGAACCGATTCCGTTAATGATCTCCGCAATCCAAGCGAGTCTTCATGTCTCCGCTCTGAAGGTGATTTTGTTCTAAACTGGGAGTTTGATGCGAAGACATCGCCACTGGTGTGAGGTCTGGAGGAAAATTAAATTTAGTAATGAAATGAAATGTGGTATTTGTATTTTTGTAATTACCTTCACCCACGAATGAAAATGACTAAAGAATGTGAGCATTACGGGTGATGGAACACATGTTGAAATGATAACACATGTGTAAAGATGTGAAACATATATACCTTATCTTGTTAAAGGGTGCCATGACAGGATGTCCATTTTCTGATTTTTCTCTCAGCTGTTCTTGACTGTGTTGAGGTGTTGAACATTCTCTGAGGTTCCAAGTATGTCCCTGCAAAGACAAGCAAAATATTTCTACAAGTCAGATGAAACCTACTACTTGTAAGTTAACATAGTGGGTCTCAATAAGTTCTGCTACCTGACCAAATATTCCCACGAGAACTCCATCAATGCTCCAAAGTTTCGCCGCGCAGTCAGGCGAAGCTGACAGAATATATTTTCCTTGTTGAAAACTATCAACAACCTGCAAACTGACAACATTCTTCGTGTGTGCTTGCCAGCGAGATTGCTGAGGAGCACTGTCATGCTCTTCTCCTGAGGATGCTTGTCTTTTCGTTGACATCCACGCCTGAGTAAGTAGAAAATAAATACAGCGTACGTAATTGTTGTTAATAACGGCTTATTGACCGAGCGTGAGGTCTGTACTGTAAAATATCAGACCGAGGTTTTTTAGTATGGATCGAGCGACGAAGGAGCGAGGTCCATGCAAAAAACAGAGGTCTGATATTTCACAGTACAGATAGAACAAGCGAGGTCAATAATCGGTTTATTATATGGCTGAACTGAGTTTGTGAGCATACGCTTTTCGCGCGAATTAAATCGGCTATTGTCAGTTTCACTGGGTAACAATATACAGTAGGCATGCATGCTCAATCAAAAACAATTTGGTTGTTTGAAATTTTTATCTGTAAAGCACAATTGGAAATTTAAAAAACAAAATTTTTTCTGTTTGCAAAGCAAAAATTTCCCGCCAGATAAACGACATCCGGGACACCGGTCCAGATACGGAAAATACGGACCACGGTCCGGATATGGGTTTTTACGGACCGCTTGTCAACCAATCAGATAGAGAATTTTGAAAAGTCATATAATAAAACGCAATTATCTAATGCTTGTTTATAGCCTGGTTTACACAGGTTTGTGATCACAGTAGGAATTTTGCATTGGTAAATTCTACGTTTTAAAGGATTTGTAAGAAATGTTTGAAGAAACTGACTTAGTGTTGAATACCGAGTCAGTTTCCTCAAACATTTCTTATAAATCCTTCAAAACGTACAGTAGCATTTACCAACGCAAAATTCTACTGTGATCACAGAAACTTTGATAGTGTCAACCAGACTTATAACAGGAAAACCTGGAAATGTCAGCTGCACAAGAGTGCTCAGTAAAACGCATCCAATGTACCTTAGTAACCGTCATCTCAACACTTGAGTTGCAATATTCTCTGATATCCCAAACTGTGATGTAACCTGATATATCACCGCTGATCAATATATCGTTGTCTCGGTCCGTAGCCAATGCAAGCACTGTGCAGCCTGGATCGGACGCTGCATAAAAACTGTCTACAAAATTAATGAAAAGTTAGACAAATAGCACCAATTTCAGAATTGAACAATTTGCAATTTCAAAGGTCGAATTGAGGATTTTACTAAAAGGGGTTGGGGTATTTAAAAAATATTATATGACGTACCCCGGGGTCGTAGAGGTCCAAACATACTCCAGAACTCAAGAATACCACATTGTGACGAGACTAGGATAGCACTATCTTGATACTTCATGTTAGCACGTCTTTCAAAGAACAATGCGGCATCGATTGGAGTTCCTTGTTTGCTGTCTGACTTCAACCTTGAAAACGTTAAAAATTAATGTCTTACAACTTACAAGGTTCCTTCTGTTGTTTCCGATTGCTTGCACGAAGAATCTCACATTATACAATATGTATACCTCTTCTTGTTACCAGCGGCCAGGCCAACTTTCTTCAGCTTTGATTTACTAAAATTAAGAAGAACGTTCACTCAAACTGAACTAGACTACGCCTATTTACAGTGAATAGCTCTATCAATTCCAAACTGTTTTCCCCCAGTAAGGGTCATCTTTTATTCATACAGTATAACAAGACGAGGAAACCAGGGATAGTTCCTCGGGTAGAGGAGAACTGATCACGTGATCGGCTAGTTGTGTTGTTTGTGGCGTCAGATATAACCCAATCCCTATCTCTAAGCCTAATCCTTAATCTAACCCTTACCCTAACCCTAACCCTAACCCTTACCCTAACCCCAACACTAATCACTATAACTAACTGATGACGTAATCTGTGATGCAAATTCTTCTACCCGAGGAAGTACCCGAAACCGGATTACCTGGAAAACCCTGCAGTGTTTAAACTGGAAGCACTCTTCTCACATGTGATTAAAATAAAATTAGAACCAGACACGTCTCTGTTGGGCACAGTGATGACAGACACATGCACTAACGACTGTGACAACCAAGACACCTCTCTTCAAAAATATTCTACTAAGTATTTAATAACGCGGAACAGGGGGGCCGGGGGCCATGCCCCACCCCACTTTTCCGGTGAATAATAAAAAATTACCGGATAAAATCCAGCCTACCTGCGTGGAATAGCTCCCGTGCTATCCTGCCCCCCCTCCCCTCCCACTTTTAAACAGACCTCGCGGTCCCTGTTATCTAAGACTTACAAAAGACTACCAGATCCTCGTTTCAGCCTTTTAAATATACTTTGTCTTTCCAAGCCCCATAGAATAAGATCTCCGTCAAAACTCCCCGTGGCAATGAGGTTGGGATGACAATGAGCGATGCATAATATATCGTCCTGAACAAATGGAAATTTTTTTATTTAGAATCAAGTTATGATCTGATTAGCCAAGCATGTTTAAGTCTGACACTGATTGACCTACCTCGTGAACATGACCACCTTTCCAGCTCGGATCTGCTTCAACGGTCAACATCTACAAATGGAAAATAAAGATACTAAATCCGGAATTCTGAAAGATGTCATGTCATTGTTTTGTTGCTACAAGTGTCACGAGGAACAATGACCATCTGCACCACCACACCTCACCTCAGCATGATCATGATACATAAGGATTCTTCTACTCCACCCGACACTCAATGTGTAAGATTTCTCAGGCAAAGGCTGAATGGCGGTCACCTCATATGCACAGCCTGGTTCGGGCAAACATTTATGCAGCAGTTGACCATTTCCTGAGGTCCAGATCTACAGCATGGTTAGAACACACAATGGTTAGTTTTACTTTATTAGAGCAGTATTAGCCAGGCGTATCAGTTGTAGCCAGGCGTATCAGCTGTAGCCAGGCGTGTCAGCTGTAGCCAGGCGTGTCAGTTGTAGCCAGGCGTACCAGTTGTAGCCAGGCGTGTCAGTTGTAGCCAGGCGTGTCAGTTGTAGCCAGGCGTATCAGTTGTAGCCAGGCGTATCAGTTGTAGCCAGGCGTATCAGTTGTAGCCAGGCGTGTCAGTTGTAGCCAGGCGTGTCAGTTGTAGCCAGGCGTGCCAGTTGTAGGAAAATGTGAATTGGGTAAGTACGGGCATAAACATACGATAGTTGATAATATACATAATGCGCCTAGTTAGGTCTAATAAATTCAAAACATGGTTTGGAAACTCGGCTAAAGTCTTTGTTCTATCTTTTTTGTTCGCGTTTATGCAGTTTTGTGCACGGTGCACGGTCAATGAACACATTGCATTTCAGACTTTTCAGTATAATGAACGAATCATCCAATAGCAACGTTTCAGTTCAGTCATTCAACCATCACTATTTAAATATTAATAAACCTAAAACAAAGGATGTGCACGGTGTAAGGTACAGCTCAACATAAAATCCCAGCTCATTATAACCGCTTTGAAGTTTACTGAGTTTCCAGACCATCTCTCGAAAGACTATGAATAAATGTATAACATTCACACTCGAAATTCCCATGTACAAAAGTAACAAAACCCTTCTACAGATAGCTGGTTACGTCTACAATTAGTATCTTAAACATCATTCTTACATAAACCATTCCAGTTCTGGATCCTGTAAACAGACGACGTCCGCTGACCTCTAGAGCCATGCATGACATCTCATCTTTCCCATCAACACCTAGGAATTCAAAGACCTTGTTCCCAGTCTCCACACTCCAAGTGCGCACCAACGATCCTTCGCAGCCTGTGATCACCTGTTTCTTCTTCTGGTTATAAATGACAGCTAGCAGTGATCTGTCGTGACTTGTTCTGTCCATCTTGCTGGTTGGTTTACTGTGGAGCTTCAATTCAGTCAAATAGTCCTCACATGCAATCAACAGAGCATGCGCAGGAGAGGGTAGCAGAGTCATAGGAAAAGGACCGTGGTCAAGATGGTTGGGATCATATGGGTACTTTAGGTGTATTGATTGGATACAATAATGTTCCCTTATGTCCCATGCTTTGATAACCTGGGAATGTTAAAATAGAATTAAGTTGTTTGTTTTTAATGTATGCATGTGTATGATTACTAAATAGGACCTTTGCATAAATGCTAACAGACATCAAAAGTGAGTGGATGACATGGAGAACAGTTGGATTTTTAATACAATGAAAAGACAATTGAAAATTTTGATCACTGAATGGTGACTGGATGGCACTGTTGTCATGGTGTCATGCAAAGATCCAAGGAAACTTATTCTCATTCAACCGAGTGTGTTTGTTGCTCACCGTGTCACAATCATAGCTGAATACAGTTCCCTTCTGTTCTTCAATAATCACATCAAGAACACGTGATATATGACCTCTGAGGATAGCTACAGGTTTCGCCGTGACGTAAGGGTTCCACAGTCGTACCACGTGATCCAGACCGCCTGTCGCTATGACATTGAGATCTTTTGAATAGTCAAAACAATCTATGCCCTGAGGAGAGAAACACACAGTTAGACCATACAGAGGTAGTACATGTTCTTGAATGTGGGCTACCTTAAAGTGACCTGATGTTGTACAGAACTCACTGCTGAGCATGGTTAGATCATACAGAGGTAGTACATGTTCTTGAATGTGGGCCGAAGGGATCTGAAGCTCATGTTTACCTTTGAAACTTTGTAAATGTAGACCTTATCATGAGCGTTCTTCATGACTCCTCTCATTATTAACGAGTCTCGACCATTACCACTGCATGACATCAGCATATCGTTGCTATGGTAATAACGTAATCTTCTTAACCAATCCGAATGAAGTTCGTCTACCAGTACATGAGTGACAAGATGAGACTGGGATGATATTGCTTCCTGGATGGAAATGAGTAAACTTGAATTATACTAACTTCATTTACACTGGCTAGCTTGGTCAGTTCTAATCTGTCCTTGCTTGGACGTACAAAAAGACTGATCCAGTATAATCCAGTATTACTACAAGAGGACACCAGTGAAGCTGGATTAAGCATTCTTCTCACATGCGACTGAGGCGAACAAAATTATATTGCAGAAATTGAAGTTATCGAACTGTGGCTGCAGAAGTGAACTGACCAACTGTCAAAATCCTCCACCAGCAGACAATTCCATGACATATAAAACACACTACGAAAACTAGCATCTTTGTAAACTCAAGATATGAGTGATTGAAACAAGATACATAATTCAAGATCTCGAGTTAAACCTAACCCACTGCGCCTTAACTTGTAGTGAGCAGCAATGGAATATAATTTCTCATTACCTGCAAGAAGACAGTATAATATCCTCCATGTTTATTGAACGGAGTTTCAAACAATCCTTCCAATGGTTTGTGAAACATCAACAGATGTACTTGACCTTTATCGTCTCCGTAAAACAACAACGATCGACTTGCTGGTTTCTATACAAGACATGGCAAATGAAGACATTCTGATAATCTTGTTTAATAAAATACGAGATATCAAGGATTCTCACCTTTTTGTCATAGTAGTATTCCATGCAAAAAGCAACAACACCCAAGGCTTTAGATAAGAACAATAAAGACATTAATTAAACTGTTCTCCTTGGGGCGCAAGGGACTATTGCTCCAGTATTTGTATGTAGAAGGACACTGGACAGCTTGGCGAAAATCTGTGGTGTTTTGTAGAGTCAAACTAAAAACAATCTTCCCGCATGACGTAAAATTATAATCAGAGAACTGTATAATCGAACTCGGGGTGAAACGCACATGTACTACCGCCACCAACACCCTTGTCTAAGAAACAAACTTACCACATAAATGGAACTGAGGAGTATAGACAGGGGTAGACATATCATAAAAATAAATATCCATATTGGTTGTACAGATAGCCAGTTTATTAACATTCTTCATCACTGCTGCATCGGTCACCCATATCTTACGTTTGCTGGATGGGGATTGGCTGAACGACTGCTCACTATCGTCCATAGGCAGCAATCGTTGTTGAACAAGATCTGTGTTCCATATTCTGATAATCCCATCCTGGAATTCAAACAAATCCCTCTCTCAGTTCTAAATTGTTCCCTCTGGAGATCTAATAAGGGTCATCCCTAATTTGACGCAGTGCTACTACAGGAGGAAACCTAAACTAACTTTAATTATACTGGATAGTTCTATCAGTTGTAAACTGTTCTTCCTAGAAGTCTAGTAAGAATCATCTCTTATTGATCCAGTGTTACTACAGGAGGAAACCTAAACTAAACTAATTCTATTTATACTGGATAGCTCTATCAGTTCTAAACTGTTCTTCCTAGAGGTCCAGTAAGGATAGTCTCTTATTGGTCCAGTGTTACCACAGGAGGAAACCTAAACTAAACTAACTTTATTCATACTGGATAGCTCTAGCAGTTCTAAACTGTTCTCCCTAGAGGTCCAGTAAGAATCATCTCTTATTGATCCAGTGTTACTACAGGAGGAAACCTAAACTAAACTAACTTTATTCATACTGGATAGCTCTATCAGTTCTAAACTGTTCTTCCTATAGGTCCAGTAAGGATAGTCTCTTATTGATCCAGTGTTGCTACAGGAGGAAATGTAGCCGAAGGAAACAGAAATAAATTAATGAAATGGGGAATGTCCTACCTTGCTCACAGTAATATATCGCGTCGGATTTGAAACAAGAAGAATACGTGATGTTGGTTCCTAAAAAAAGAAATATTCAGTTATTTGGGGATGGAATTGATTAGAATGACATACGGAACTCTGGGGAAAGTCAGTGCAATCTTTATCTTTAAATCATATATAAAACATGCAGGTTCCTATTGGTTCAAATTAATCCCAGGAAGCACGTCTTTGAGCAGATAGCTACTACACACCAACTAGAACTTTTCACTTTCCACTTGAACGTTGATGAAAAGCAGCCTTCCTGATGCAGCGGAAATGCCTCTGGCGAGGATGATCGCAGTATCATTACCTTGCATTTCTCTATTTTGATAATCTTAGGAGGATTCTGAAACACTTTGCCAGAACTCGAGGACCTCAGCAGTTCCCTCTCCTGCAATCTCAATAAAATATAGGAACTCAATTCCTCCCAGTCGACTAAACCATCAGACGATATATCAACCTTACGAAATAATTCCTCCATCTCGTCAGCCAGGACTCTGTCGTGAAAAGCTTTATTTAAAGCTTTGTTAAACTCGTCCAGGTTCATGAGTCCACGTTTTCCTACATCACGTGAGGGAAGGTAGCTGAACGTTTTGTATTTTTGTTCAGGTTTGTGCTGTTTGAACAATCGCATTAGTTTCTTCAACTGTAGTAGAGAGAGCTCTTCTTCCAATTGGACTGAGCCTCTGAAAAATAGATAAAAAATTATGTTAGAAAAAAATGATCTCATTCATCAACCATTAGACATAGACTTTAGACTTAGACTTTATTCAAAATTTGCACAATTATACATACATACATATTAATACGACAGATACACAGTTACTACACAAAAAAAAGTCACAATGATTACAAATAAATTATCGCGCGCAGTGATCAAAGTAGCCAGAAGCATATTTGGCTAACGTTGTTTACATCATTGTTACCCAATTCACAAGTTTAGAGAACTCACGTGCCTAGTTACTATTGTTTTAGTTTACACAAGAATACAAGATAGAATAGAACAAAACTAAGCATTAGAATTATATATAAAAGTTATTCACTCATGAAATCTAGCTTACAATATACCTTTGTCTAGACGGAGGAGAATTCATCCTCTTGACTTTTTCTGCTTCAGATGTCCGTGGTGGAAACAACCTTGGAACCTTCTCACTTTGCATTTCCTTGGACTTCTTCATGTTTTTTTATATTTCATTTTTCAACCTGAAATCAAACAATTCTTATAACATCTGGCCAAGCTGTACAACATGAAACGTCAATTCCACAAAACTTTAAGAAGTGAAAAGGTATAAATTGTCTGGCTTATTTTCTATATATCTAACCCAGCGGCTGCTCAGAGCCTCATGGATTTATGATGAGATCTTTTTTTCCAATTTAATTAATAATCGCATCTGGTTTATCTACACAAAAATCAATACAAAACAACGATGTTTGTTTCATTTATAGACAGCCCATGGGGTTACACTCCATCAGCAGTCGACACTTATACAATCGAGATTTTTATCTGTTTTCATAAATATACAAAACATCTGCCTAAGAAAGATTGCACATTGCGGACTTTGTGAGTCACGCTAATCGGGACACATAAAATATGAATTCTATCAGAATATCGAGAAGATTTACGAGTATGAACTTTTCTACGTCCTCTCACACTTAAGAGGAATTCTGTGATAATTAGCTGAAGCAGTTTAACAAATCCAAACTTACCACTGATAGTTTCCACACTGATACAGTGTACCAATTCTTTCTGAGATGGCTGCAACGTTGGACTACCAAGGCATAGCAACTTGCTCTCAGAATTCTATGAGGACATCTTTCTTTTTACAACTACATAACTATAGTTGCATGGTTCTTTTCCAAAGACAAAATCATAGCATGTTAGTACAGATAAGTGCCTGTTTTTGTTCTGAGATTAAAACAGTATTTTAACAAAAAGAAATGTCTGTCAGAAAGTTTCGTTGTTATAGAAAATAAAATGGGATTTGTGGCTTGATATTTACTAAGGATTATAAGCTATTTTGCCATGGAAACGGGGAGATTGTGCTAGAACGTAAAGCAAATAAAAGCCTTATTTCTGTCAATATTGTGTGCACATTTATGTAAATTAAAATCCTCTTTCAATCTCCTATATATAGTGGAGTTACTGCAAACTGTGCAGAGAAGCAAAAAATATATTCCATCGATTGGTTTCAGTAAGCGGTACAGGACATTAGATGGGGTCTACTGAGGAGTAGGAAAATAAACTACGTCTCTTAAATCTTAATGATTTATTTGTCACCTAATGCAAAACTGTTACATATATTCAAAAGAATTACCATAAGAGTGGAGCTGAGACCTAGTGGAACTTAATATGTTACATATAGATTTGCTTGAAACCCCGAGTACGAAGTGAAAACGAAGAACAAGATGAAATAAAGTTATGTCATTATGAATCAAGATTAAGTTTTTATTTAATAATCAAGGCAATAACCAATGATTATATAAATCATTGAAACAAATCTCTATTGCCCAGCCAGGCCCACTCATATTAAGGACGTAATTCTCTAAATAGCATTTCAAAGCGGCAATGCGTAGCGTTCTTATTCAAGTTTTTTTCATTTTGTTTTTGAAAATTGAAATTACTCTACAATTATAACCACGCATTCTGATGAATGGGAAGAAAGCCTTGTGTTTAAACAAGGCGGCAAGCCATTTGAACGGATTTATTTTAAAAGAAAGTACGTTTAGCTAATTTGTTTTGTGAAGAAGTAATTGATCCGCGTTTTAATTTAGGACGTTTTAGTATAAAAGGGTTTTCATTTGGCCGGGGACAGGAAATTTAGTTTACGAGTTTCGTTCTTCTAAAAGCTTGTCATTTTTTCTCTCTTGGGTCCTGTAATACACGGTAAGGGTTTGTAAACACTTTATGTCTTAAATTGGTTAATGTTGACTTTGAACTACATTTCATGAACATTGTACACAGATATCTTTCTAAGACAGACATCTCTCTAAGAAATATATCTTAAGAGTTAAGGCAAACTTCTCTCTCTCTCTAAGACAGATATCTCTCTAAGACAGACATCTCTCTAAATCAGACATCTCCCTAAGACATACATCACTCTAAGACATACATTTCTCAATATCATACATCTCGACATCTCTCCATGCAAGACATACATCTCTAAGACATACACCTCTGTAAATCATACATCCGGCTCTCCAAGACGCATCTTTCTAAGACAGACATTTCTCTAAATTATACATCTCTCTACGATAAATACATTTCTCAATATCATACATCTCTATAAGACAGATCTAGACATCTCTCATGCAAGACAGACATCTCTATAAATCATATATCCGGCTCTCCAAGACGCATCTTTCTAAGACAGACATTTCTCTAAATTATACATCTCTCTACGATAAATACATTTCTCAATATCATACATCTCTAGAAGACAGATCTAGACATCTCTCATGCAAGACAGACATCTCTATAAATCATATATCCGGCTCTCTAACACGCATCTTTCTAAGACAGACATTTCTCTAAATTATACATCTCTCTACGATATATACATTTCTCAATATCATACATCTCTATAAGACAGATCTAGACATCTCTCATGCAAGACAGACATCTCTATAAATCATATATCCGGCTCTCCAAGACGCATCTTTCTAAGACAGACATTTCTCTAAATTATACATCTCTCTACGATAAATACATTTCTCAATATCATACATCTCTAGAAGACAGATCTAGACATCTCTCATGCAAGACAGACATCTCTATAAATCATATATCCGGCTCTCCAAGACGCATCTTTCTAAGACAGACATTTCTCTAAATTATACATCTCTCTACGATATATACATTTCTCAATATCATACATCTCTATAAGACAGATCTAGACATCTCTCATGCAAGACATGCAGACATCTCTCTAAATCATATATCCGGCTCTCTAACACGCATCTTTCTAAGACAGACATTTCTCTAAATTATACATCTCTCTACGATATATACATTTCTCAATATCATACATCTCTATAAGACAGATCTAGACATCTCTCCATCACAAGGTAGACATCTCTCTAAGACATATACACCTCTATAAATCATACATCCGGCCCTCTAAGACGCATATTTCTAAGACAGATATCTCTCTAAGAGGGACAACACTCCAAAATATAGACATCTCTCTACCTATAGTTAGAAGATAAGTAGGAATTAGGTTTAGAACTGTTCGGTTTAAGTGGTACCACTGGGAAAAAAGTGTGAAATCCATACTATGAAATTTTCAATTGCACCACTAAATCATAGTATATATACATAATATTTCAATGCTATGTCTATAGTACGGAAATATACAATTATTATGCATTATCAAAATCCATTTTATTTCCAATAAAGGTCCATACATTTTCAATTTTTTTTCCAGTGACGGTTAGGTTAGGTTTAGGGGGATAAACTCTTACATTAACATATTCTTTTTCATCGTAGAAAACAACATCATGGTACTATCCTATAAGATTGCTGTTACATTACTGATGGTTCTATCAACCGTTGCTATGACAACAGAAGCATTGCCAGTGTGGATTGATGGTAGTTTATACAACCCCGGTAAGCGAAAATATATTCCATCTGGTCTGAATAAAGGTAAGAAATGAGAACATATCCCTGTTCAATTAGCCATTCTCACGCAGGCAAATATCCGTCGTTTTGGGGATATTGTAAATAATCATTTTACACACAACTACCGTGCCAACCTCGTTCCCAGGCTCTTGGAAGAGCCAAGAATCAAACTGATTATCAATTTCCCATTTGTAATACAAAATGACTGAAGAACGGCAAACTTCGCAAGGCTATATTATCCGCATTTTACAACATTTCGCAACGAAACTTTGGAATATTACTAATTTTGTGATGCTCTTTCAAGCTGTGATGAAACTTTTTTCCAGACTTGTCTAGATCAAAATTTCACTTCTAAGGGGAAAGGTCTATTCAATGTATAAGCGGTGTGTTTCAGTGTTGATCATCTGGTAGTTTTAACCCAACAGTTTCATTATAATTTTGTACCCCGTTTGAACTAGCCATAACTAACTCAAGGTAGTTGAAAGTTGGAATCAAATATTTTTTTTCTTTTCTAGTTGACGAGAATTTTAGCGAAGAAAATAATGATCGTTTTCCCTTTGGAAACACATAGAAACAATGAGTTTCATTTGAAAGAAAGTCATGCACATACAATGCTTTAAAATCATAGCCCTAACAATTGATGTTGTAAAAAGATTTAAATATATATTTGGAAATGTATTCGTTGTTGTTTGAACTTTTGATGACCCATGCACATTCATGATGAACATCATTTACCTCTGCCTGATCAAACCATGTTTAACTCAGCAGTAAGTCTTGTACAACATCAAATCACTTTAGGGTAGCCCACATTCAAGAACATGTACTACCTCTGTATGATCTAACCATGTTTAACTCAGCAGTAAGTTCTGTACAACATCAGATCACTTTAGGGTAGCCCACATTCAAGAACATGTACTACCTCTGTATGATCTAACCATGTTTAACTCAGCAGTAAGTCTTGTACAACATCAAATCACTTTAGGGTAGCCCACATTCAAGAACATGTACTACCTCTGCATGATCTAACCATGTTTAACTCAGCAGTAAGTCCTGTACAACATCAAATCACTTTAGGGCAGCTCACATTCAAGAACATGTACTACCTCTGCCTGATCAAACCATGCATAACTCAGAAGTGAGTTCTGTAAAACATCAGATCACTAAAGGGTAGCCCACATTCAAGAACATGTACTACCCTCTGTATGATCTAACCATGCTTAACTCAGCAATAAGTTCTGTACAACATCAGATCACTTTAGGGTAGCCCACATTCAAGAACATGATCTAACGTTTGCCAATTTTGGCAATGTTACGCTACGCATGCGCGTGGTATTGAAATTGAAAAAAAGAAGACACAAGATGAAACGAAATTTACTTTTTATTTGCTTCAGAGAATTTTACAATAACTTAACAAGATAATATATTTCATTCGTAACATTACATAATTTTACAATAATTGAATTTCCTGCATTTTATTGCCATCTTTTTTCTACTCCTATAATACTCTCTCCATCCTTGTACAGCCCACTGCCTTCTTCCCCGAGAATACCTACAAAATTACAAAAAAAATGTCAGCACGTGGGGATTGAGGGATGTACTCAAATTTGACCGGATTCATATCGGGTGATTCGCCCGGACGAACTTGGGCAAAGAAAAGATAATAGGAAGTTTAAGCTTCACGTTTCCAGGAACGGCAAACGACAGGTTCGAACCTTCTTGGCAAAATTTTCCCTAAACGTTTTCGTTGCATATTTTCTTTCTTGCGTCGAAAGAATAATTATGTATTTCGGTTTTAAAACAGCAAGTTTATTTACTCTTTATTGCCTGATACCGTAAATTTTTTCTTTGCCTGACGCTTGCGGTATAACGCGAAGCTTAAACTCTCTAATTCATCTGATCATTTGTTTGTTGTATAAACGCGGTCTTAAACTATGAGGAAAATATCAGACGTGATTTGTTGCAATAACCATCGCCAGTAAAGATCAAGGTCCTCTAGCTAGTTCGTCGGGACTTTCTATTTAGTCTTGTGCTTACACTGAATATCGGCAATCTAGATGATGATTCGCGACGGATAATCCGTCTATATGCATAAATACAGCATTTGTTCTCAGGAATATTGTCCATATAGGTCGCGCTATTCTAGTTATCGTCTGGATAGTTTGTCTCGTGTTTACATTTAACCTGAGACAGATGATCTATAAGAGAGATGATATTGGTGATGATCTATCGAGATGATATTGGTGATGATCTATCTGGATAATATTGGTGATGATCTATCAGGATGATATTGGTGATGATCTATCGGGATTATATTGGTGATATCTATCGGGATAATACTGGTGATCTATCGGGATGATATTGGTGATCCATAGATCAGGACATTGAATCATAAACATTGAGTCACAGGACATTGAATGTCCATCATCATCTCCTAGAGTGCTAAACAAAGATTTCCTCTTACTCTCTACACCGCCATTGTCGTTGGCCGTCTTATCAAACACCTCGTCCCTCTTTCCTCCTTGGCCTTTGTAAAGCTTTTTTTGGTTACCAAACCACAACGAAGCACCACCAGCTTCTGTTACCATAGCAACAGACAAGATGACGACCAACAGAAGAACGATTTTACCAGATAATGTCATTGCGTGCTAAGAGAAAATATTTAACATAGAACGATGAGATAAACTGAGTCAATGGCCATTTCAAAAATCTTAACTTACATATAATCGTAACCCAACCAGCACATGTAGTGTCGCGACTGGGAAACCCTGGTTCAATCCTTGGTCGGACCTCTATCAAAGCTCTTAAAATAACTGAAGAGGAAGAGCTACCTTTACATTGATATCAGTAAAATGACGTTAAATCATAGGTACCTCGGATCCCCTATCATTGGGCAATAGCTGTTGGGAAATCCGCTCTCCAATGAGTGAGAAACTCAACAATGAAATGGTAATAAGTTCTTTGTATGTTTGCATGGCGATAAAACATATAATAGTTTTGTTTGTGGAAACACCACGTAAATTGAAATGGTAATATGGGAAGTCACTTGCCGATAGAAAAATTATATCTAATTTATACAAGCGTTCCTAACAATCATTTCTTTTGAACTGTTCTATGTGAATTATTAATGTTTCTTGAAAATAGCATATTGTATGCCTGCATTATAAGGCTCAGCTTTGAAACAGTCTTATTAAAAGAAATATTAAAATATAAAAGCAATTTAAAACCTTACTAACCTTTTACAAAATTTCAACTATATTTTCTTCAGAGTTCAAAGTGAAAACTCCCCAGAGCACTTCACTTTTCGACCAACAATAACTCGAACGCTCACCTTCAAAATGTTAGCTTGCAAATAACGCTTTCCGAATAAAACATAAGTTTTTATAATTAAACAATGTTTGTCATTGAAAATGACTGATTACCTATACGGTAGGTCCGTGAAATTAAAAAGATTTAAACAATATGAGTTGATTAAGAACACCTGTTGTGCCAAAAAGGGACCGAGCAATTAAATTTTTTCTAAACTAGCGATTTTCTTAAAAAAAGATACGTAAAAAATGTTAGTTTAACACGTGATAACCATGCTCTTGAATCCACGATAATTTTACATGAAAATCGAAATTTCACTTTCTTACAAAGACTCATTTCACTGGCCAGAGAAGTTAAAATATTACCCATTTAATAACTTTTATGAATACGACGACACTCTTAATTGTAGCCGTTTCCGGCATTATATATGTCATATATAAAATTGTCTAGATCTTAAAATTAAATATCGTTACTCAGAGTTTCACGTTCTTTCGAGAAGATCATCAAATTCGCCTGATACAGATCGCCTAGAAAGGACGTGAAACTCTGAGTAGCGATATTTAATTTTAAGATAATAGACAATTTAATACGCTCTGTTATTATTTTAGTATTGAGCACTTTATACATCTGAAAAACCAAAACAAATTGAATTATATATATATATATATATATATATATATATTTAGTGTGGGCTAAAATTTATTCGGTTTTCTATTTGCTTTGCTAATAATTTAGAATTGGGATATTAGGTTTTCTAATCGTCTTTCACCCACATATTTTAGCCGTTAGAGATATTAATTTTATTACTGTTTTTTGCTTTCATAAAAACGGTTATTCAAAATTTAATTAATTTGTCCAGACGAACAAAGTTTAAGTAAAAACGCCGGAAACAAACAAAAATTTAGTATTTTCAAATATTGGACAGCATTTGCCCATATTCACGAAAAAGAAGATAGTGAACTACTTTCAAATTTCTTTCGCGATTCATAATTCTGCGCTTGTTAAAGCGCGCGCAAGATTTAATTGGCATAACATGCAATTTTCTCGCCCTACAGGAAACTGGCGCTTGGCAGTGATCTGATGTCATACAGAATGAGTATACGAATGGCGATTAAAATCGATTCAAGCAATCAAAAGTTAAGATAATTTGAAAATATTACACAGGATTTTGGAAGATAAATGGGCATTTTATATATTTATACACTATAATCTGATTAGAAATGTGTCATCACGCCACACGAGTTTGGCATGTATAGTAAAACAGAGGAAGCATATCACACTAGTGGTTTGCATGTGATTATCTTGCGCTAGGATTCGCTATGCATGTTCCGTGTGAAAATAAATCCCAAAGTACACATGTTTAACGCGCAATTACGAGGAACTTTGATAATCACCGCGCCAACAATTCGCATTCGGGAAAATAAGTCGGAAAAAGATATATCATGTGTCTCCAAAAACTGGACACGATTTCATGTAACGTAAAAGCTATCGCAATGAAATAAAGATCATTGCATTCAGAAAGAAAGAAAGAACTAACTTAGATTTTGATATAAAACACTTGAATTTACATGCAATATTGACTGCGCTATTGATGTTTGAACGTTGAACTACTGTTTTGGAAAATGCCAAAAATTCGCATTAAACAACTTTATAATTATTTAAATAATAAATATTTTTATTTTTCTTGTATCTCGCTCACAATATCGCATGTAAATTCTAGTGTTATCAAAATCAGAGTTATAGTCCTTTCTGAATGCAATGATCTTTATTTCATTGCGATAGCTTTTACATCACATGCAATCAAACAGTGTCCAATTTTTTGGGGGACACCCGGTACTGATTTTTGTTAAAAACTATATATTTACAACTGGTGGGGGGGTAGGTTCAATTTCAACGTCGTATCACCATACTAATTCGACCTGCATGGGGCTCAATGCAATATTTAACCAATCAAAATCGCGCATTTCAGGCGGTTAACTATTATTTAACTACAAAAAGTAGTTAAAAACGTTTTATACAACCGGTCCCCGATGGATTGGCATTCATTGAAAGATCAGTAAGACTTCCTCGGTGTTCAACTAATAGTGATATGAAGGTATATCAAACTGTATGTCAAGGACAACGATAGCTACTTCAAAAAAGTCATCAAATCATCCTCTCCTAATGGGATAAGAGGCAATTGCTAATTATATTTTCATACATGCTTACCGACGAGTAATTTATTTCAAATATTTTTATATCAATAGAGAAACCTAGCGATGTCTAGGCTATGCAGGCAGATGATTAAAACTCGAACGGTGTAGGTATATAGGAATAGAGACAAACAGAAGATCAGCTTCTTGCTTTCTCTTTATTTTTTGGCGGTAACCGTTATTCGTCATCAAAATGCTGACGCCATGGTCCCAGCCAGTGCGCATATGAGAGGCATTCACCCCCCTGATATTTTTCAAAATGGTGGACGTCCAGGGGGGAATGTCTCTCATAAGCACACTGGCTATGACGTCATTGTTTGATGACGAATCATGGCGTGGCAGCGGTTACGCTTTTTTGGCTGAGTCCACCTTCTGTGTGTCTTTATTCTGCGGTATAGTGGCAATACATGAAAGATGTGGGTTGAAAGAGTTTCAACTACCTGCAGTTTTTCAGGCAGTTCAAACCCTCTCAATCTTTCCAGCCAAATGATTAAACTACTTGAAACTACTCGGGTTTGAGAACTTACTCCCAATAAAATACTGAATATATAATCACACAAACACCAACATTTTATAACGGTTATTAATTTCATTTTATACGAAAATAAATATTTTTTACATATTTTCTTTTTTTTAGATGCTATTATGACACAAATGTTCCTCAAATGTTTGAAATGCTTCTGAAATGGCGATATATGACACAGACAGACAAACACAACAAGAATATGGAGTGTGATGCGTGAATGAAAGTATGCATGTAAACTGATTTCAAACATTCTCTCAACTTTGTATATACAGTGTATATATTAAAGAATAAAGTACTGCATTTGTTGAATGCAACAAGCCTTGAAATGAAAAAATCCTCAACTAAACATCCCAACTAAACATCTACATGATATCTGAACAAAGCCAATCATAAACACACACACTACAAATATATCCAATGTGTCACACAAAAATTACGCTATAAAAATTACGTCTTCGTACTATCATAATGACGTCAACCATAAAATGTTTCAATGTCATCATTGTTCATGATTACTCGGAAAACGTCGGTTCAAGTTCGCCGTGTTTCGGTAGGATCCCCAAAGGACGTGTAGTTGGCGTCGTCAAATTCATCAAACATGCTATCAAGTGATGATATTGTTCCCACGCCCGAGTCATAACTTCGATAGGTTTCATATGAATTGTGTCGAGATCTTGGGTGATAGTACATCGAAGCACCATTGTTGTGGGATTTGTTTCTCGCAGCACGGCTAGACTGGGCAAGAGGTTTGGTTTGAAAATCTTCAATCAATAGTTTATTTTCGACAATGTTTTGCATATGTACAGGTTCAACGACTTTGTTGTCAGTATTTCTCAGTTCTTGCGAGTCTATGTTCTCAGATGCACTACTTTCTGCCACGTTTATTTCACTCGACCTCTCTTTAATCAACTCATATCCCATGTCTTTAGCATCATTGACGTCAGCATCTACTTCACTGACGTCATTGCCTACGTCATTACTGACGTCATTGCCTACGTCATCACTGGCGTCATTGCCTACGTCATCACTGACGTCATCGCCTACTTCAACCATGGCATCATTACCAACATCAGTCACGTCATTATCTACGTTATTAGTGACGTCATCACCTACGTCACCATAGAGTTCGTTAGTTTTAAGTTCCCCGTCACCTTCAGTGCTACCCTTATCGTCTCCTAGCAACGCTTCGTCAAACAAATCCTCTCCTGCTGGTAGTTCGTCGTCCTCGAGCAAGGCTGCGTCATCAAGTTCGTTACCTGGCAATGATTCGTGACCTGCGTCATCCGCCAATAACGCCTCTTCATTCACAATCTCATCAGTTTCCACTTTGATACCTTCATGTTTATTATCATCAACCTTCTCTTCGATTCCTTGATTTTCCAGATCAGCTTCCACTTCGACATTTTCACTTTCCTTAGTGTCAACTTCCACTTCAATTTCATGATTTTCCTGATCATCAGGTTCCACTTCGATACTTTCACTTTCCTTAGTGTCAACTTCCACTTCAATTTCTTGATTTTCCTGATCATCAGCTTCCACCTCAATTTCTTCGTCTCCAGCGTCATTGTCAAGCTCTATTTCTCCTATTTCTTCCACTTCAATGTTTTCCTCATCCTGGTCTTCCTCCAAAGTCTCGTCATCTTCCAAAAGCTCTTGTTCTTCCTCCGGAGACTCTTCAACATTTTCTTCTTCCTGTTCCACATCTTCATTCTCGATTTCTTGTTCTTCACCTTCTACCTCTACTTCATCCTCCACTTCTTCACCTTCTTCCTCATCTACTTCTTCCACTCCAGATTCATCTTCTCCATCCTCCTCATCTGTTTCTATTTCTTCTCCACCAGATTCCTCCTCATCATGGCCATCATTCTCCTCTTCATCCACCTCGATCTCCTCTTCACCATCATTATCAATATCTACCCCCTTTTCACCCTCACTATCGACCTCAATCTCTTCTTCATGTTCATCATCTTCCCTTTCATCCTTCTGGATCCCCTCTTCATCTTCATTAACCTGTTCCATGCTCTGATCCAATTCTTCTTCATCATAATCAAGTTCTTCTTCATCATCATCATCATCCAATTCATTTTTCAGTTTTCCCACTTTATCTTCATGTACTTCCTCATCTATGACGTCATCCTCCTCCATCATGACGTCATCATCACTTATGTCACCACTGCCCGAATTCACTTCAACTTTTAAACTATCCGCACCACTTCTGTAGTTTTCATCTTGATTCGACTCATTCCCAGACTCAGCATCATTCTCAGATTCTGACTGGATAGCTTCACTAGATTCACCATCGACGGACATTTCTTCCTTTTTTACATCGGCTCTATATTCAACACGATCTTTTTCAGACCCATCTCCAACTTCGTCAGCACTTTCCCCACGTTCTTTCTCGGAATCATCTCCCATTTCGTCACTAGTACGAACTTCATCAGATCGTTTTCTCTCCTTATGTTTGGATTTCTTTTTATGTTTATGTTTCTTATGCTTCCTTTTATGTTTCTTCTTTTTATTTTTTTGTTTCACTTCCTTCCCATCATCCTCATCAACTTCGGTGGGCCTCTTTTTCTTCTTTTTCTTTGGTTTCTCAGAAATCTCGGCGGAATCTTGGAAATACTCATCTTCATCTTTTGATCTTTTCCGAGAAACTCTTCGTTCATCATCACTTTCATCCGAGACAGATTTTCTCGCCTTCTTTGACTCTCGTTTCTTGGATTCCTTCTTATTTTCCTGCTCAGAATCGGAGTATTCACTCTCATCAGAGACAGAATGCTTCCTAGATTTTTTCGAACTTTCGCGTTTTTCAACACGCAAAAACTCATCACTATCTTTGTGTTTTATTTTACCTACAGAATTTTTCTCTTTATGAGAAGTTTTTAAACTAACTTCGCGGATATCCCCGCTACTACTTGTCTTTTTCAAAATGTCTTTCGCATTTTTACTTCCTCCAATAATTGTCTTTTCTTCAAAAAGTTTATTGTCTTTAGAATATTTCTCTTTACGATTTTGCTCAACAGATTTACCACTTTTAGTGGTTTCTTTTGATTTTTTGTCCTTAGTCTTTTCCACAGCAGTTTTTGCTGTTTTGTCACGCATTTCTTCGTCCTTGCGTTCAGTCTTGCTTTTCTTTCCCACAACAGGGCTAGCAGCTACAAAATAAAACATACTCTGGCTTGTAGAATCACTTGAGTATGGGGGTTCAGTGTAGGTAACGATAAATAATATTCATGAGTTATTACCGAAATCAGTAGAGTGTCTATTCCGGAAGTTGAAAAGCCAGTCAGAAGCCAGTAGAAACGTCCATGTTTTATGACGTCACGGTGAAGGAATCGTGCATCTTGTATGTTATTTTACTTACTAGTAACTTTATTTAGTTTGCATTTCTTCTCCCAGTGCCTTCCCACGAACAAAGGTTCTCCCTTTGCTTAACCTGAAGTTCAGGCCCTAATTTTAGATAGGGTCTGAACTTCAGGTTACCCTTCGCTCGAAAGCTTGTTTTGCGCTTGGCGAGCCATTGGCAATTTGTCAAACTAAATAAAGTTACTAATATAAAGTAAAATAACATACAAGTTCCACGCTGCATTCCTTCACAGTGACGTCATAAAACATGAACGTTTCTGCTGGCTTCTGACTGCCTTTTCAACTTCCGGAAAAGACACTCTACTGATTTCGGTAATAACTTGAACGATCCAATTATCTGAAAAATATAGGAAATATTTTGACGTCGACCAGAGGCGCTTCGTCTGGAAATCCTCGCAAACTTGACGATAAACCTTTGCTTGAAAAGTCAAAGTATTTTCTACAGTATTCAGGAAAGTGAAACGTCGTTTCATCCTTCAAGCAACCTCGGGGATATTTGTGAAATAACGACTATTGCAAATGAAAACAAGTTAAAGAGTCCTGGTCAACCACAATGCAATGCGAGCTTTTACGTTTTTCCGTTACTTTTCTCAATTGTTGCCGCCATTTTCAAGGCCACTAAAAATGGCCCACAACCTCTGGCCCACAACGTAACAAAAACGTAAACAAACGCACGCATTGCATTGTGGTTGACCAGGACTCTTTTAAGCTGCGGATCGATTCGATGGTATGGAGAACAGTGGGGAAAAAATGAAACAGAAAGGATAACGGAACATTCGCTGAAGATCTCCGGTTCGAAGCAATTGGAAATCTAATTAATTATTTTCAATTTTAACAATAGAAATGTCGTTTCACTGGAAGAAATTTTACAACCTAACTTGAGTTAAAATAGAAAGATCTTAGAACACCAAGAAAACTCTAATCCCGACAAAGGGCGTAAACCTTCGAATTAGACAGTATGAATGACAGCATTCACAATTAGAAGGATAAAAGTTTTTACTAACCTCTACTATCACCTTTCGTCTTTCCAGAGTGTTTTCTTTCATCATAAAAAACGTCATCTTTCTTTCGACTTTGGACAAGATCCCGCAAATCGTTTTCCTTCGCTCGAAACAAATCCGAATTTTTCTTAATTTTAGAAGATTTTTCGACATTATCGTCCGTTTTAGCGGAACTCTTATTAACAATATCTCTGAGGTCAGATATGGAACATTTCCTAACTAATGATATATCAGATTTCTTATCTGCTGACATATCGAGATTATTTAAATCTACCTTAGATCTTTTCTTAACTGACACCTTTCTCTCTGATGTTTCAATCTCGTCCGATTTCAATTTCTTTTTCAACTCCTTTTCTGACTTCGACTGTTTTTTCGACGTACGTTCATTAACATCAATGTCCGACTTATTTTTCTTCTGAACTTCAGCCTTCGACTCTTTCGACTTGCCACTCTTAGCACTCAGTTTCTCCGCAGTTCCAGCTTCGCTCTTCGATTTTTTCTTAATCTCTCCTCTCGGCTCAATCAATTCGTCTTCAATACTATTATCACTTTCATATTTCTTCTTCACTTCTCTACTTGATTTCAGACTCTTGACGCTATCTGAAAAACTATCTTCACCGTCACTTTGTACTTTAGACTTCTTTTTCACCTCCCTCCTTGCCTCAACCGACTTTGCAGTCTTAGCTGTCCGTTTTACCGAGGTATCAACGTCACTCTCCCCTTTCGATTTCTTAACGTCCTTTCTCGATGCTTTCTTAGACTCGACTAATTTTCCGGTCTTCACTTTTTCCGAAGCATCATCACTGTCCACTTTAGATTTTCTCTTTCCGTCTTTGGTCTGGATATTCGGCTTTCCAGTCTTAACGTTCTTTTCATCAACATCATCATTTGGTTTAGATCGTTTCTTTGTTTCTTTCGAACCCTCCTTCCTTCGTTTCTCAGAAACACTACCGTCAACATTTTCATTCGTTTTAGATTTTTCCTTCAAATCTTTTACAGTCTTAACGTTTTGTTTTCCCGATGCAGTACCATCAACACTGTCATTCCCTTTAGACTTTTTCTTAACGTCTTTATTCTGCTCGTTTTTAACTGTTCGTTTCTCGGACATTTCACCATCATTATCGACTTTCGCTTTCTCCTTCGACTCTTTTGACTTTGTAGTCTTAACAGTCCGTTTCTCGGAAACATTCCGTTCAGTTGATTGCACAGTCTTTGCTGTTTGTTTTTCTGGTAATTCATTGTCAATTTTAGATCGTTTCTTGGAATCTCGAACATCCTCCTTCTTACGTTTCCTGCCCTGCTCTCCACGCTTCCCTTTCCTCTCCGCAGAGGGCGACCGTGAACGATCCCAGTTCACGGGAGTTCGCGACTTGGATCGACTATATGACCGCGAGGGGGACTTGGACCAAGAGTGTGACCATGATGAGCGGGAACTGGAACCAGTTGGTGTCCAGGACCTTGATCGTTTTCTCGTGCGGGCATCGGACGGCGAACGACGTGAGCTCGGAGATTCCCGTCGGTCTCGTCGGCTGCGATTACGATCTTTCTTTCGACTCTTTCTTTCATCGTCGTCTTTATTGCGACGTTTTCGTCTGAATAAAAAATAATCTTACATTAGAAATACATTGCTGATAAGATACTTTTTGTGTGTGTTGGTGTTATGTACTCAGGTGAATATGATGTTTGTGATGTTACTCTGAGTGTGCATCCACACCGGGCAAGCTGAAAAGTATGCCTGACCAGTGACCACGGTGGGAATCGAACCCCCGCCACCTTTGGGATTATTTATCGACTCTGTTTATCAAGGGCAGAAAACAAAAATTAAAACTTCACCTTTCTTGTAATTTAATTTTAGCTTTATAAAACTCTTCTTCATTCATCATGCCAACACCAGCGTCAAGGTTGGCAAAGGGAAGAGCGGTGTGACGGGTGGGGACTAAAGTAGGGTGGGGGATATGACCATATGGAGCAGCGGCGAAACTTGGAACTGAGGGGTGCACTAGAGCAGGGTGGTGGTGGTAGGTGGGTCCAGCAGGGACTACGTAAGCTGCACGGTGGACTGGAGCAACTGGGTGTGGTACCGCCATAGTCTGGACTATACCTTCAGGTCTAGGAAGAAATATTCAGAAATATATTAAAATGTCGGTGGCACAGTGGTAAGTACATGAACTTTTCATCTCTTGGATCAGGGTTTGATTTCTGCGATAGTCACTTGTCTGATTCTAGATCAGGGTTCGACTTCTGCAATAGTCACTTGTCTGATTCTAGATCAGGGTTCGATTTCTGCAATAGTAACTTGTCTGATTCTAGATCAGGGTTCGACTTCTGCAATAGTCACTTGTCTGATTCTAGATCAGGGTTCCACTTCTGCAATAGTAACTTGTCTGATTATAATCTCATCTCGCTCAAAGTGTGCTTCCAATTTGATTCTACAAAATACTACAGGATTTCCCAAGATGCTCTGATTTCCTGTCGCAGTAACACTGGACCAACAGAAGATTGGAAAACAGGTTAAACTTTAAAACTAATATAAAATTTTTTGCAACAGTATTTTGAGGTATTACCCATGCATCTCCTATAATCGTAAATCAATTGTAAATGTCATACCTTTGCAATCGAGGGTCAAGTACAGCTGCTTGATGAACAGCTACTTGGGGAACAGCTGCTGATGGTAGTACGGCTGCTGGTGGTGGAGCTGCAGGGGCTGCTTGTGGTGGGGCTGCTGCTGGCGGCGCAACAGCGGGTGTAACGGCTTCTACAGAAAATCAAAATAACAATTAGAACTAAAGATAAAAATTAGAACTAAGAGAACATACTGATTACAATTGAAGATTGTCATTTCATTTCCATTTCCCACGAATAAAAATGAAAAAGAAGGAATTATTGGTGCAGTCATACCTTGTGAAACAACTGATGCTGTTGTAGTGGGTGTTGTCGTACCAGGTACCGGACTGGCTTGCCCTGGTTTTGATGCTTCACTAGCCACCGGTAGTGCTGTTGTTACAGAAGACTCAACAGTAGTTGTGACAGTCGCCGCTGGAACTGGAGTTGATCTACACGTTGAAAGGAATAAAAGCACTGTGAGTGAAGTTAATTGCATATACTACACGTAAAGCACTCAGTCTTGGCAATAGAATCTCGTTTTCGCGGTTGAGACTTGAAATATTGAGTTTAGAATAGAATAGAATTTATTTGCACTAAAAAAAATATACTCAAAAAGGAAATTCGTTTTATTAGAGATTTCCTAGGCAGTAATTTGTTTCGATTATCAAGAGAACTCGAGGTTTTTATTCCAGAAAATGTGAATGAGAATTTTCCTGAGTTACTGGAAACAGATGGCAAATGAGCCCTTTATCTTTTTACACGTGACACATTTACAAAACCGTACGGTTATAACAGTAAATTATGTTTATGTCATCAGTGACAGGGGCTCTAAAACCAATATCTCAATCACGGAGACTCTACAGCCGTGGCTAAGGGTCTATAGCTGTGGCTAAGTGCTTTCCATAAGGGTGTATTCTAATTCACACAGTGAGAGACCTACCTTCCTTGGTCACCATCACGATGAGCACTTGGTGATGACGTAGCAGAGAGTGTACCACCATCAAAACCTGACGATCTTATCTTGATTATTGCCTAGGTGGAAATAACTCAGTTAGAGATTTCTAAGGACAACAACAGTACATGGCCAACATGCGTTCAATTTCCAATTATAGAAGGGTTTTGTAAATTTTATACATTTATTAGATCTAACCAGGAGCATGATTGTTTCTGTGTTGGTGTTATGTACTCAGGTGAATATGATGCTTGTGATGTTACTCTGAGTGCATATCCACACCGGGCAAGCTTGAAAAACATGCCTGACCACGGTGGCATTCCAAAGGTCGTAGGTTCGATTCCCACCGTGGACAGGCATATTTTTCAAACTTGCCCGGTGTGGATATGAACTCACGGTAACATCACAAGCATCATAACCAGGAGCAGTTGCGAAAAATGCAACTATAGGCCCTCTGGCAGGAATCGAACCTGTGGCCCTCCAAGTGTCACTATCATACCTGACGGAGATGTTTGTTTATGACGATGGACGCAGGTGAAACATCTTCCATTTGACACGATGGACAAACATGATCATTTTCCAATAGATATTTCTCTATACCTGAACAGATCAAAATGTCAGTTAATACCAGTGAACTGTAATAACACTGGAATGCTAACTGCAGATAAACATGACCATACTTGCCTGAAGCCAAGATGGCGCTTCTCGCGAGCTCAGCGAGCAATAAATTGATTTTCGAAAGGACTGGGGAGAGTTTCGAGGAGCGGGAAATTCAGTCAAAAGTTTGTTTTTGAGCGAAAATCAGCAAGAAAAAGCACTTTTTTTATCAACAGGCTTCAACTTAAAAGATTCAAACCTGGTTTCCTGGATAGTCCTAAGTATTTTACATCCACTAACAGCAAAAACTTCCTGGGTAACAGCTTGATATTCAAAATATTACACAAGTTTGAACGTGCTGAAAAAAAGCTTCGCACTTTGACTCCTGAAAAAAGAACTTTATAACTGCTCTACGTTCTGGAAATATGTTTTGTATTAAATTTCAGGTATTGTTGAAAGTTTTTAGCTTTTTTCCTTGTTAAAATACAGCTATTTGGTGCTCGAAAACAGACATCTTTTCGGTGTCGTATTTTCCACTCCATACGTACATGGCGGCCGTCATGAGTGGCTTCAAAGATGGCCGCCAAGTTACTGTTCCAGTTCTCTTAGAGGACTTAGAGTTCACTGGTTAATACGGAGTTTTCAAGAAGCATCACCGTGCCTCAGATGGTGGTCAACCTGCAGGTATTCGAGTTCTTACTAGTTGAATCATGTAATCATCAACTTACAACTATCACAGAAGCTTTCACCACAGCAGGGAACAACAACAGCATTATTCATGATCTTCTTGCAAATGGGACAGTAATATTCTGGCGGGATTGGCTTCTCACTTTCAAGCAGACCAGTTTGAGCATTAAGTCGTTTCTTCGTCGCCGCTTGTTCGTACGCATTGCTAAGGATAGAATAGAAAACTTTAGACACATTGAAGAGAACAACACACTCTTAAAATAACATGCATCATATAACAGTGTCTTTATTACGCAGTGAATGTGATCTAAGTTAAAGACCAACATTTCAATCACGAAAGCGAGGCCCCATGGTCAAGGTGACGTAGTTTCCGAAAGGGAGTATTCGCTTACTTGTGGGGTCCTAAAGAAGTCAGATTACTTGCTGAAATACTAATGTCTCCAAAGTGTCCAGTTTAACGTATCACCTGGCCATTGTGATGCCCGATTTTAATGATCCGAGGATAGACAGATTTCATTCCCAGTATTCAGAAATTAATATTTTAGTAACCGATTCGACTTCATTTGGCACATCAAGCAATCTTAATCATGTTTCTTTTTGACTCACGGACTGTTAGTCTTTGTGGTAACTTGGTGGGAGTGGGAGGTGGGGGGGGCAGTTAAACAATAGGAAATGACCAGCCTGCTTTGCACACACTGTTTACCTGCGAATCGGGCCTTTCAGAACCGGAAATTGGGCTGGAGCACGTGTTCGTTCTTTTGATTTGGCAAACGAAGCACGATAAATGAGTGAAATGGCAAAACTCGCAAGGTGCCCGGTTTGCAAAAACAACTGCAAACCGCTCTTATTCTTTCTGTCACTTTCATTTGATCTTATCCGTAAGTCGGCCTCAACAGCCTTTGATTGTTTCTTTGATTCTACCACTCAAGTTTGAAAATAAACTGGGTTTAAACAGCACAACTGACTGAAGTCTGAACACGCATGGTTTGCAAAAACGAGTTTCTCCATTATAACAAAAAAAGATCATAATCGTGGCAGTGTATACTTACTGATCCACTATAGGTACAGCATATTGTCCAGTATCTGGGATCAACAATGCTCCTTTCTGTGTCGGCTTGTCAGCAAGACGGAGAAAACTCTTGGGAATCCCTGTGGTACGACGAACTTTCAGATCGTAATTAGGATCCTGGAAAGACAACAGGTGTTAGTTACAGAGCAACAGATGGTGGCATATAGATCTGGAGCAATTTTCAGGGAGACGCGCGCAGCCGAGAGGCCTGGGGATGGCACACTCCTCATAGAGATTATAAATAACACTAGAGGAGGCATTGTGATCTTAATTCAGTTAAAAAAAGGGAACGCAGCTATTGGGGGGCAAATTCAAGACCCGGATGTGTACTGACGTTCCCATTGGTGATGAGTTTCAAATCAGCCAATGAGAGCACGATTGTATATCCGGGACTTGAACTTGCCCCCCATTAGCTGCGTTCCCAATTTTTAACCTCGATGCTTCCTCTAGTGTTATTTATAATCTCTATGACACTCCTTGCCATCTTCGTGTCTGACCGCGCAGACAAAAACGATAGAAAGAGACTGGTACAGGACGTCAATTTCCGCCATCTTTGTATGGAGGGCGCTGGGCTGACTGTTGATAGGAGCATGAAACTGGATCTACTACTTACGTTGTTTTTTGGACAATTCTGTATCCAATGTCCAGGTTTCCGACATCGGAAGCACATGTAGTGGGGTGGGGGAGGTAGGCGGGGAGCTGCATTAAACTGACGACCTTTGGGTTTGGCATACCTGACAAGGAATTATACAAGACAGAGAAATGAATAATCTATCCTAGAAACTAAACTAATATTATACTGGATACTATACTAATACTATCCTCTCAGCCTCGTTCTCAGGGTTGGATTGTGTTTTAGATTGTATGATAAATATGCCTTATCTCTATGTTCACTCCTGATGTTACGCAATTCATATTTTTACTCACATGCCTAACTACTGTTCTGATAATGTAAGCATAGAATTAAACAATGGTAACCATGCACTTAAAGGCAATATGTGATTGAACTGGGAAGCAATGCCAATTGGTATAAACACATGTTAGCAGCACAATCTGTTGTATGATAGATGGGGGGGGGGGGGACTTAGTGTTGAACGTACAATGATGGGTCCCATTCCTCTCCAGCTTGGTTCATCATCGCGGCAATCTTGTCTTCTTCCGAGGCATTTGCTGACGCCAGATCTGCGACCTGTGAAGTGGAGATATCATTCAATGATTGAGGAGGAAATAAGGAATAAAACAAATCCTGATAAAATGCATCTTGCAAATACAGATTTGGCTAAAATTATATACCAAAGGAACGTACTTCTGTGTGCAGAAACCTACACCAGCAAGCTACTAACATCTGCGCGAAGCAAGCTTAAATAATAATAATAAAAACACATGAATGCAGAAACCTATATCTGCGCGCAGCAACTAACATCTGCGCGCAGCAACTAACATCTGCGCGCAGCAACTAACATCTGCGCGCAGCAACTAACATCTGCGCGCAGCAACTAACATCTGAACGCAGCAACTATCGTCTGAACGCAGCAACTATCGTCTGAACGCAGCAACTATCATCTGAACGCAGCAACTATCGTCTGAACGCAGCAACTATCGTCTGAACGCAGCAACTATCATCTGAACGCAGCAACTATCATCTGAACGCAGCAACTATCGTCTGAACGCAGCAACTATCGTCTGAACGCAGCAGCAACTATCATATGCACGCAGTAAGCTATATCTGTACGCAGCAACTAACAGCCGAGCATAAAATCTTTATTCCAATATCCGCAGAGCAGGAAATTTCAAATGCAAGTATGATAATGTTAATTTGGGCGCAGAGTCTTAAATGACCGTGAAACTAACATCTGCAAGTAACGTTTACCCACGTGCAATGATTTAAATCTGAACAGAGATGCATACAACTGCACACTCCAACAAGCAATATTGTGCAAAATACCATTTCTGTACAGGAAATCCCTACATAAAATTCCGCCCATAACCAAGTATTTGAAAGGAACAAGCAACATTTGCATCAACAACAAGCTACATCTATGCGCAAATATTTGCAAGCAGAAACCTGCATCTACTCGTAACAATGTGGTTCTTCACATACCAGCTTTTCTCATCTCCCGTCATCCGCCATAAAACGAAGAATTTCTCACCTTATTGAGTTTGCTCAAGGGTACAACTGGCGTATCATCCTGATCTTCAGTCTTGTAAAAATGAAACAAAGATAAATAACCGAACAAAAACTAAAATATCAACACTATACAAGATAAACAATACACAATTAGTTTCAGATGCTATCAACGCACTTTGGTCCGTTTATATGATCCCGCCTTGGCGTTCTCATCTCGCGATATTTTCATCCCACCCACCTGGGCGGGAAACTCCTCCAGGCGGGATGGTGTGTTTATAAGCAGAAAAACATTACCAGAATGAAGTCAGTCAATGCTTGACATGTTATTTTTGGCGGAAAAAGCATCTACACATGCTCAGAAGGCCATATTATCCCCCCTAGCTGGGATAAGGTTTGTCATTCTGGCAAACGATGGTGGGTTCCCATCAATTTTAATTTGTGGTCAGGCACTTTGCAAACAGTAGTGATTTTCAAAGACTGCACTACTATCTATTTCCATCTCCCTTACATTTCAATGGAGAAAAAAACAACTCAAAATCAATACTAGACACTTTTTCAAAGTCTGTTTTCTTTTTATGAGGGGTGGGGGCAAGGCAGCAAATGAAGAGAGGGGATTAGGAAGAGGGGAGTCCCTGTATTTGCCTTGCTTGCCTCCGCTTGTAATTTGTCTGCTCGCTTGCAATGTATAAAGAAATGTATAAAGAACCAAAGAGAAGTTGACTTGTGGCAAGTTCTGGTTGAGCCATTAGTCACAGAACAACACTTAACAAATATTTGTCGAAGGCAAGCTGATTATCGAGGAATATTCACCGAGACGAATATTCCCTGATAATCATCGAGCTTGAGGCAGATCATTGTTTCAGTATTTTTACACAAGTCTTTTGTGTGAGTTTATTTTAATTTCGCTTATTTCTCTATCAGTAACTTCCACAAATGGCTAGCTGCCATTTTGCAATTTCGGTTTTGTTATAAGAGCTTAATACGTCAAATTTGACCAATCAGTTTGTAGGATTTGTTATATTCATTTGTGCAAAAATACTAATACATCATATTGGCTGCAAATCAGCTTTGATTGTAATACCAAAGCTTGCCAGTGGACCTGTATAAATAAGACAAGGATGAAGGACAAGAGGACTGAGTATGACACATCGTAAAATCTACTAAACCAAGTATAATTAAAGTACTGGAGATATATCTTTCATTTCTGATTTGTATGTACAGTATTATGTTATTCTTTGCCAAAATGCCAAGGTCATAATAAGGTGCTATACCACACCTCATCAACTTCCCTACATCATGCACCCCAAGGCCCAAGCAATTCTGTTGCTGCCATTTGCTGACGGAGCGAACGCCTTGAGCAGGTGTCTTGTTTAGTTTTACTGTCGTTCCAATTGAAGTGTTGCTCAAATATTGATTCAATACATTACCTCGGGCTGACCAATTCATTTGATCAAGTTCCTCGAGATATTCATACACTTCCTAGTATAATTGTAAACTTCCTGTTGAATAGTTTGAATGCACCAATCACCTTTGTTGTTTGTGCAACTAACCAATCATAAATAGAAAGAAGTGACCAGAAATGATCAAATACTTGGAATTGGCTCTTTCACAGGAAGTGTATGAATATCTCGAGGAACTTGATCAAATGAATTGGTCAGCCCGAGGTAATGTATTGAATCAATATTTGAGCAACACTTCAATTGGAACGACAGTAACACCGTATCTGCCAGGCTGCGACAGTAATACACTTCCCAATTTTCTAATATTTGCCAGATTCGCACAAAACATAGATAAAGCATGCAAGGTTCCTGGACATCAAGCGAACTGTGTTAGAGCATAATTGGAGGACATTACGTCATTGAAACAAAGGACGGACGACTGAGGACATCATTTTTAAAAATACAAGTATGAGCAACAAATTTACTGCAACTTTAAAAAAAAGCTGATTACAACAATGTTCATCTTTGTCTCAGGTGTTGTGATTTATGCATGAACATTCCTTGAAACTAGCTTGTCTTGCACATTGCAGAAATTTTGTTGCTCATTTTACAGTAAAGCCAGATGACATCACTATTACATGGTCAAATATGATAGCATTGCCGAATCATGATGCCATTCTTTGAAACTCTGACAAGGATGAAAGCATTCGGATTGCAAAGATTACCTCTTCGAGAAAGTCATGTCATTGTCACGTCACTATAATGACATCATTAAATTTCTGCTGATGTCATCAGTAAAGTGATTATGATGATATCATCAATAAAGTCATTATGATGACATCATCAGTAAAATCATTAGATGACATCATCAATAAAGTCATAACAATCATGTCATTGTTAAATTCATGAAGGTGACATCATCATTAAATTCATGATGACATCTGCAAAAGTATGGCGATGTCATCAGTAGTCATAATGATGACATCATCAGTAAAGCCTTGATGATTACACCATCAACTTTGAAGTCATGATAATCACTTTGACAGGAAATTTTCTTGTCTTTCATGCATAGCAGAGTATTTAAATTCTACCCTATCACCCTGCTTTAAAGCACTTATTGCAATTTTAAATGAATTTTGACAGGACTATTTATACAAGTGCATTCTGTGCTTTAAAGCTGTGTAATAAAGTGTGGCTATATCAAACTTTCTGCATACAAAACATAACCCACTAGTCAACACACAACAAACACAAATAAAACTTTATTCTGACCAAGTTGCTGTACAACTGGTGCAGGCAAAAATAAAGATAGCAGCAAAATAAAATGTTTATTGCAGATCTTTGTACAATTACATGTTACAAAGAAATAAAAAAAATAAAAACATATTTCATAAATATTGACATAAATTCAACGACACAGTAGGAAATAATTTTTTTTCTGGGAAGTTTTGGGGTCAAAGTTTTCTGCCAAGTTCATTAATATTCTTCCTAATAAACTATTTTTATGCAATGTCATAAACATTTCTGCCAGCTAAGCCAGATCTGAAAATTTTCTGGAATGCTAGATCTATGCCCTGGCCAATATTTACAAATCAATGTTATGTCAATATTTGTGAAAATATTTAGCTATAAAAATATCATTTTACATACTGGTTTTGCTCCATCGGCTGGGGACTGTGGTCTCTCCCTGTATAATAACAAATACATAAACAATATATCAGAAATATGAAGTTTCGACATGTTTTCATTCTTATGAATAAATCTTAATGGGTCGTTCCAGAAAAGATCCATACTCCCCCCACGGAGGAAATTTCTGCCGTCCGGAGGGGGAGGGGAGAAAAAATTGTTCCTGATAATAGTAAATGTATTAGGACATCCAAAGGGGGTAGGGGGGTTAAAGGGGCAGTGTCACGGCGCTGATTGGCTAAAATAAACGGCGCAAAGAAACGTTTAAAATTAATGCTACATGATTGGAAAAGATGCAGCAGCCTTCAATTTTTAAAACAAAGTAAGGATGTCCTTACCCTGGAACCAGAGGGTATTTATTTTCGCCTGTTTTGAATAACCCTCTGGCGAAATTGGCGTAGTTTTCGGGTTCACATTCCACACATAACTTTCAAAAATGGAAGCAAAGGGTTGATTGGCTGCTGACTATAGGTTCGATAGACTACGTGTTCTGATTGGATATTGTAAACATCATAGCCTGTTCGCAGGCGTTTCGTGTTTTGATTGAATTGAAACATTTGAATTTTGAAATGTCTATATTATTAAATAAACGAACAAAAGTTGAAAGAAGCAGTTTTATAGGCTGCATTAATAGTAGATTGATAAATTTCCTGAATTAAAAGTTTAACGGAGCATCAATACCGCGCCTTGTCCAATTTGATTCACATTAAAGATGTATTTGCATCTTGCTATCAGTTATGGGAAGAGTTTAATATTCCAAAGTTCTAACACCGAGAGTAGCACGACGACTTGGCAGGGGCCACAATTTTCTGGAGAAACCCATCTTAATAGTCATTTGCAAATTGAACTATTTCATTGACTCTCACGTCTGTGAACTAAGAAAGCGTGGATGCCGTGTTACTTCACTGTCAAACAAAGAGGACGAGAAAGCAATATTAGATGGAGAGTTTACATTCGCATTTTGTAATCCCGAGTCTATTATTCGAAATGCGAAATGGAAAGGAATGGTTTCATTTGAAATCTACAAGACAAATTTGCTTGCTTTTGTATTATTAACAAACAAAGTTCACGTCGGCCCAAAGAGGTGTGTTTAATAAATTTATAAAATACAGATTTTTTTGTATGTATATTGCAAGATTAATAAAGTGAATGAATATAAATATATATTTACATTAAATTGAATAGATGTGATGTTTTAAATTGAATGAAATTCAGGAGAATGAATATTGCTACAAATGGGCAGGCATACACTGGACAGTAAACATTCGATAAAACCCTGTCTAGACGGCCTGACGTCAAGGATAATGATTGGATAATATTTTTAGAATATGATGCATTAAGCCATTATACATTTTTTGCATTCTTTATCCGAACCAGGAATCGCTAACAAATTCACCAGAGGTTTTTCCTTTTTCTTCGCACGTTTTCTCGTATTTCGCGTTCGCCAAACCTAAAAAAACCTCTGGGCCAGGGTAGGATGTCCTGCATAACGAAGGGATTATAAATAGTATATCGTATTTCACTCCTAACTTGATTAATTGTTGGCAGACAGTTTTCAAGTTCGCGCATATTTTGGATGCGCAGTAGAACCGTGACACTGCCCCTTTAACTTCCTATTTCCTCTGTGGGGGTGGTATGGATGTTTTCTGGAATGACCCAATTTGGATTTACCCCTCGAGTGAGAAAATAATGTTAATTCTTTTCTTTATGTGTCATAGTCTTGTAGTTGGTGACAATAAATAAAATTGAGAAATAATAATTCCACGATGAGCCAAATGCAAAAAAATTTGCACGAAAAGGTTGAACGCATGCACATGATTTTGGAGTGTTTCTCTGTGAAATGTTTCTCTTTGCCGTTTTTTTCTCTATTGTGGATATCACTACAAGAGAAAATTTTCGCACAAGTGTGTTTTCACGCGAAATTTTCTCGCATTTCGCTTGTCATGAAATTAGGCCTTTAGGAGATACTTACGCTGCAGTAAGGGCTTTTCCTTTTGGTCCAACAGGAATTCTTCGGATGACGACCGAGGCATTCTTCGGAATCTGGGTGGCATTATCTGTGTATGCTAGAGAAGAGAAAACATAAGACGTTTTAATTTTGCGTTATTGGTGGCAATTTTCTTTTTCTAACAAGTGCAAATGACCGAACTTGCATACAAAACGTACAGAATCGTTTTTGGAAGTAAACATTTCTAAGTCGTTTGCATGTTACTTGTTATTTAATCACATCACTAGCAGCGGAAAAATCAAAATTGCTAGTGTAAACCAGGCTTTATCCACAAACTTTCTCCCCCAAATGCATGAATCAGATGAATTCACTCAGATAGGAAGACTTTTTTAGGTTCATTATTAAACTTTTTTTTCAAGTATTTTGTCAATATTTACCCGAAATCAAAATGCTCACCTGTGAATAAAATGCTCCAAATCCATTACAAATAATATTAATAAAAATGAAATTTGAATGAACCAATTTACAAAATGAAAAAATTCAAAGCCTAATTTTATGCCACATGGCGAGCTGGCACACTTCAAATTTATTTTATATTTAATGGAGAGGAAGTGAATGCCTAAAGGACAAATAACGAATAAATTTGAAGGTATTTTCAAGGTAGAACAACTCTATACCTTCTTTAGATTGCGCGTTAGTGACTTCCAAGTCATATTCACCGCTTTTGGTGCGATTCTGCGACATGATGGCTTGTTTGAAGTCGCCAAGCGATATCGACAAACCGTCAAAAGATATAGTCTTGTATTCCAAGTTATTTTTGAATTTGTAGTGAACCACAGACATTGTTCAATAGAGGAAGAATAACTTCAACTGATACACGATAAATGAACGCCAAAAACCACAGAAACCAGACGGAAAAAGCGAGTTATTCAGCCGAGTAACGACCCAGTGCTGCCGTTGTAGTTGGATGACAACAAATGCATTTAAAATGCTTAAAAATGCTCCATTCTCTTCTTAAAAACCACCATCTTGTAGAAAAAAGGACGACAAACAATCACAGCTCACAAATTCATCTCCAAAAGTGATTTTTGTACAAATTTTGAGTAAAAAATCAGGTTCAAATATATCTCACAAACTTTTTTTCGTTGAAAGCCCTTTCACAAACCACACGACGCATGAGCACACATTCAAGTATTTATGACGTCAGTAATTATATATTGTGCAATAATTGGCGAAATCAGAGGTCTGGGTACTGGGTAGTAATCTAAAATTAGCCAAACTTTTGCCAAACAATCGCTACTTCTAAATAGGTACATAACCAATATTCTAAATTTTAGAATGCGGGTAATACCCATGCTAGGTATGTACCTGAGCAATCCAAACCCCAACCCGACCCTAACCTCCAACCCCTAACCCTAACCCCTAAAGTAGTTCTCCCTGAAACGGATTATCCCAGACCCAGCCTAGACCTAGGCCTTCTAGTTCTAGTCTTATTTATATTTTTTTAATATTTAGCGCTTTTTCACAGGAAAAGACTGGGACTAGGTGATTTGGGGGCGGGGCGGAGGAAGCAAGCCTAGAAGGCCTAGT